AATGGTCACACTTACAACAATCATTCCTGCGCTAGATCAAGGGGACTGGTTCGCAGCCCTCGACCTGCAAGATGCGTATTTCCATGTAACTATCCATCCTGCCGACAGATGCTATCTACACTTTACGCTCGGCCCAGATCATTTTCAATACAATGTTCTCCCCTTCGGCCTCTCGTCAGCTCTGAGAGTATTTTCAAAGGTACTAGCAGTTGTCGCTGCATACCTCAGACGACAAAAGGTCATTATATTCCCCTACCTAGATGACTGCCTCTTAAAGGGCTCGACACAGGTCGAAACCGCCTCCATGATAAGTACGACCACATCCCTCCTCAATCGTCTAGGTCTTCTAGTCAACGAAAGCAAATCAACACTTCACCCAGTTCAAGATATAGAGTTCATTGGGGCATGCCTGGACTCAATCACAGCTCGAGCATACCTACCGTGACAACATTTTATAACTATACAAGAAATTATAAGTGCGATGTTTACAACTCCTACCACTACAGTACTTACTTGTCTCCGACTAATGGGACTCATAGCTTCCACCACCTATATTGTCCACCACGCTCGTCTGCATTTTTGATGCTTCCAACTCTGGATAGCAATTGCGTACATACCGTCACGACACTCCCTCAACAAAACAGTGACTATTCCACCAAACGTTCTTGCATCCTTACATGGTGGACGGTACAGAACAACCTCCTGGCAGGTGTTCCATTCCAACAAATCGAACCCACTATACAGATTACCACGGATGCTTCCCTCCTTGGCTGGGGAGCACATATGAACGATCAAGGGGTTCAGGGAAGGTGGTCCCCATCCGAGGCACGACTACACATCAACCTCCTCGAACGGCGGGCAGTAAGGAATGCCTGTGCACACTTCGCTTCCAACATCGCCAATCAGACAGTCCACATCCTAACGGACAACATCTGCAAAATGTTCTACATAAACAGGCAGGGGAGAGCCCGCTCCCGCTCCCTCTGCGTGGAAGCTATTCGCCTGTGGAACTCTTGCATCCGCAACCATGTCACCCTGATAGCATCCTACCTCCCCGGGGTGAACAACACCAGAGTAGATTCACTCAGCCACAACTTCACCTCGGATCACGAGTGGGAGTTACACACAGAGGTCGCAAACTCAATCTTCCACCGATGGGGATGGCCATCTATAGACCTCTTTGCGTCTACCCAGAATGCCAAGTTGCCCCCAGTTCTGCTCACGCTCAGGACTTGGCAGACATTCCCTGGGGGAAGCCTTTCTAATCAAATGGACAGCCCCCCTACACTATGCCATCCCACCCATACCGCTCATCCCAAGAATCCTACGCAAGATCTGCAGAGACAGAGCCCTAGTCATCCTGATAGCCCCGTCGTGGCCCCGCCAAACTTGGTACCCGTACCTGCACAAGCTAGCGGTTCACCCTCCTTATCTACTACCAAACTGTGTAGACCTGATATCTCAGAGCAATGGCACGATACTACACTCACAGCTTCATACCCTACATCTTCAGGCTTGGCTGCTCTCAGGTTCTCGGAGATAGAAAATCACTGTTCCCAGCAAGTGAAGGACATCCTCCTCCACAGTAGGAGACAGTCCACTCGAAAAACTTACCTGCAAAAATGGACACGATTCTCTCACTGGTGCCAACGAACCAAAGTAGAACCCCGTTTTTCCCCACTAAATACGATCCTGGACTACATTCTAGACCTTAAAGTATCAGGACTGTCAATCTCTTCCTTAAGAGTCCATCTTTCCGCAAAAGCAGCGTTCCATACCTTGATTGTTATTCACCTCGTGCAGTAATGAGTGTTCTTCGAGATGTGTGTCCCCGTGGGTGCTCCACGACCCTCCCTTCCTCCCCTCTGCGCAGAATCTAAATTACTCGGGCAAAGACGAGGAACTGAAAGGGAGGGGGTTGAGCCGCGTGCTGCAGAGGGTGGGAAGGGCTCAAGACGCCTTCTGAGCATGCGCGGCTCAACGGGGGGAAACTGCTTTGCAAAGCTCTGATCTGTGGCTCAGGGCGACCCTTCACCTAGAGTGGAACACCCACGGGAACACACATCTCGAAGAACACTCGTTACTGCATGAGGTGAGTAACTCCCTTTTCTTCCCCTCCCCCGCCCTTTTGCTGCCTCTGCCTGATAGAGGCAGCAAGATGGGAGAATCAACTAGTCCTTAACATCCTTATTAGAGACCTCTAGGCAGTCATCCCATCTATCCTTTTCCTCCTACAGTCCATCAGGATTTATTAATCCTAAATTGTCATTGACAGACTGGTGTCTAGTCTAGTCCTGAATATTTTCTGTTAAAATAATACCACAACTGCTAGTGGAGCTGTTTTTTTATTATGTTCCTTGACTTCTGACTCTTAAAACGTGTTCCCTGATATTTATTTTTATAGCCTTGTTCTCGTATATAATTTTCCTATTTTATTTTTCAAAAGAATGACAATCACAGTATTTCAAGATACCAAATGATGTTTCATTGTTCACTTGTAGTTTGGTTACTATGTTATGCATTGTTACCCTGTTCTTTCTCAGAGGTAATGCTGCTTGGTCCCTATTTATGCATTTGATTAATGCTTTCTACTATCTAGTATATAAAATAGAAAATGTTCTTGCTCCTACATCATGATCTTGTGGTGAATTAATCTTTCCCATGATCAGATACTGAGTTTTTAGTTGTATTACTATGATTTGCATTTATTAAAATAAAGTTTAAATTAATGTTGTTTCTCTGCTGTGCCACTACTATACTATTTTATAATTTGACCCGTCTCTCCTTTGCATCATTGTGAGTTTGATTAGTGAGTTCACTGTTCCATCCTCTGAAATGTTAATTAAAATGTTAATAGCATTGGACCCAAATGGACTATGCAGTAACTCATTTATTTTCACTGGCCGGCTTATGATGAATTATTTATAATGACTCTGTTAGTTTGAATTTTTAGTCAATTTTGTATCATTGTAGTAGTTCCATCTAATCCATATTTCTTTATCTGCTATGGGTAAGTGTTTTGTGGAGCCCTGTTGAAAACTTTATTCAAATTAGGGATGTAAAATCCTGTTTAATCAGTTAACTGGTTAAATGATACATTTAATTAATTAACCACTTAAATGGGATTGGGGGGGACCCTGCGATGGGCGGGACTGCTCCAGCAGGGCTGAAGCACCCTTGCCCACAGCGCACTGGGCTGGGCACATTGCGGGTAGGAAGTGTCCCTGACTGTGGTGCACTGCTCCAGCCTGGCCAGGCCCGCCACGAGGGGCCTTCTTCTGCAGCCAGCCTGGAAAGGCCCCTAATCAAGGCCTTCCTGTATCTGCCTTTTAAAAAGAGAATTTGGATTTTTCTCTTGTCAGTAAATGAAAATTGACTCATGAATTTCTCTTTTGAAAGTCAATGTTGAGTCATTTTCACAGTATTGGAGTATTTAGCTTGCCAAAATATGACAGGGAGATTATTTTTGTTGTATTATAACATTTCATTGAAATTCTTCTTGGGGTTGATAAAAGTTTTATTTTTACAAAACCTGATTTTGGAGACAATTATTTGGTGGGCAGTTTCGATTTTAGTATTTTATATCATTTGTTTTTTTCATACCATACTGCCTACTATTTTATCTCTCTATTTTTTCTCAGTCCTTATAAATCAGATATTAATTGCAGTAAAAATGCCTGGTTTTAATAAAGTAAATATAATTTTCCATAAATTCCTCCTTTTCCACCTCTTAACGTTTAGAAGATTAGAAAATTCCATTCTAACTCTAATGGCAATTACTGAAGTAGTGATTCCAGATTTGCCATACTTTATGCTCATTTATTTGGGTTATTCTTTTGACTGGAGGTGGGGTTGATAATGCTATCAATATGCTGATTATGTCATTTGTGTTCTCGTACAAAACTCTACTTTTCTCTTCTACCAATTCCCTCCCTCCCATTAGTTATTTTGCAGGACTTAGGTTCCCCAAGGTTGGGTTCTTCCTACCCTAGACCACACACATACACTAATAGAGTATGTCTGAGAGGACTGGTTAAGGAACACTCTCAAACTGACCCCTTATGTCTATGGACTCAGTAGGCTGTGTTGGACAGCAATGCCAAGCTATGATCCTCATGTGCCCTTGGACTTATTGGACTGGGCTAAACAGCATTTTAAGCTGCCACCCTCATAGGTCCCCAGGTTCAACATGTCCCTATCCCCGGTTTTACACCACTGCTGTTCTGTTAGTATCCCACTTGATGACCAAACCCAAAGAATTTTGCGTGGTACGGGGGTCTTTAGCTTCGGTACAAGCTAAAGGTACTGCAGAGTGAAGCTAAAAACAACACCCCCAAGGGATGGGCAAGTGGGTGAGAGAGAGAAAAGCAACCAACTTTACTGTGAAAGTTTTTTATTTCCAGGTAGTAACCATACAAGAGGAACGAAACGAACAAAACAGTTACAATATTAAATTTAACGTAAATCTAATTACAAAAGTTAGGGCCAACAAACCACAACTAATCACAGAAGGCAGGGTCAGGAGACTAGCTATACCTAGAGAGAACAAGATGACTCTCACCACTCCATGAAGCTTAAGTCGATTGTGGTTCCCAGGTAGTGATGGTAGTTGAGGGTCCAGAGTGTTGGAGACCAGCTGAAGAGAGCCACCAGAACAATTAATCAGTAGAAGATGAAGTCCCAATAGAAATTATGTAGAATTTAGCTCTAGGCATCAGAACACTTTACTCAAGCTTGGGCAGGAAATTTTTATAAAAAAAGAACAGTGGTTCAAAGCAGAACACTCTATTTATTTGTGGGTAAACTGATGATTTAAGAGAGTATACCAAAGTTGTTTTATTCAGGCTAGACAATAAGAACTTCTCATTCATAACTATGGGAAATGTTTCTTCAAAGGAGTTCACAATGCAGACAGGAAGCTTTCGATATTTCAGATAGCAATAGAGGGCTTATTTGTTAGAATTGGACTGGTAGCTGCTGAGCTGTGAGAGTGCAGGCATGATTTCATTGGCATCTGGAGCAGAGATTTCCCATCAGGCAATACTTTCCTGCTTTTTGGGTCCCAAAGTTCAGTGTGATTCCTGCCATGGACTTTCTTTTCTACATTCTGTATACTAATGGATACACCTTTCAGTCCTATCTTTGATGCAAATGAGGCTATGAGAGTTTCTGAAAGGGCTTAGGTGTGTCTTCACCTGTCTTTTAATTGTTTTTTGTACGTCTTTCTTCTTCTTTGAGTGATGTCCCCGTGGGTGATCCACTGTAGATATTGGGCTTGCCTTTCTTCTGATTGGCTTTGGGTCAGGGGGGGGGGGGTGTCTTTTATGAGTCAGAGAGGCTAATATTATGCCCTGATTCCCCAAGAACATGGAGCTGGTAGGTAACAATAGCTTACATATCTCTTTTTTCTTCCTATTTTAGGGGAAATATATGCAGTTTTGAAGATTTATTTCAGAGTCAAGCAGAAGTCAAATTTCAGATCAAATGTGGCAGATGTCAGTTTGCTGCACAGTCTTTTGCTGAGATGAAGTTGCATTTGTTATGTTTTCATGGAGAGGAAATCCAAGGAAAAATCAAAAAGGGAATTCTACAGGGAGGAAAGGTAGCTCAGGAAGAACTAGTCAGAGATGCAGCTCATTTCTGGAAGAAGCGCAAAGAGAGACAAAAACCAGCCAAACATGTCATTTGCAAGGAAGAGTATTATGCTTTTCCAAAACTGAAAAAGCAAATATATCTCAATCAAAATAATTTTGATGTATTAACTGAAAGCGAGGTTATTCAGTCAAGTAACAATGAACCAGGAAGGGAGTTGCAAAATATTGGCTGCGCCATACAAAATAAAAAAATTCAAATTTGGGGTCAACCTAGTCATAACTGCATTTTATGCAAGCTGATATTTAGAAGAAAAGAAGAGCTTTTCAGTCATTGGCAGAATCATCATAATTGTGAAGACCCTTCTATTCTTTGGACTATTTTTAATTCATTCTCCAAACAGGGAGTTATTGAACTTTCTAATAATGCTGAGAAATGAAGCATTAGCAAAATTCAGCTAGAAAAGTATTCTCTTTTCCAAGTCTGGTTAGCAATGTCACAAAAATTTACAATTCTCTCATTCTATTTGGTGATCATTTGCAATGTTTTTACATGCAGTTTAGGTTTGTTTACTGAATATAAAACTGTTAATTCTCACTGCAGGCCTTTCAAGATATGTGTACGCACACACACGCACACGGAACTTTACAGAAACAAGTAGGCAGAATGTTAGAGATTGAAATTAAAAGAAAAAAAGAGAGGAACTGAAATTATATTATGTTGTACACCAACATTGATGTGTTCCTTTTGTGAAGTATACAAATGGTCTTCTTGTATTGTATGACAAACCAGATTAAAAATACAGGTTGGACCTCCCTGGTCGGGCTCCTTTCTAGGCAGTGGTGTCCCCGGAGCCTGGGCTCCCTGCTCTGCTGCTGGCCCCATGCTAGGGCTCCAGGGTCAGCCTCCTCAGGCTGGGAATATCCAGTCTGCATGAGCCCCACTACTGCCAGGGTTCCCAGCTGGGACCAGGGATTGTCCCCGGGTGCTGCTGGCCCAGCTGTCGATGGGGTTCTGGCTAGGGCTGGGAATTCCTCCTGGATGATGCTGGCCTCACTGCCGCTGGGATTCCCTGCCAGGACTGGGGCTCCCTCCCAGTTCTCCCTGGGGCTGGATTCCCCACGCACTGAAGGACCAGCCCTTGCTGGCGCAGCTAAGGCTCCCCAGCATCTGCAGGATTCCTAGCTGGCTTCTGCTCCTCTCTGGTCCCTGAGAGTCCCAGATTTGGGAGTGTCAAATTTTCAGTCTTAACAGTATCTCCAGATTTTATGGAAACGTATATGTGCATAGAGTTCTCTAGGTTATTTTAATGTACATGTTAAGATGTAATGTGTGTGCTTTTTTATGATAATAAGTGTGGAGCACAGTTGTATGATGGGATAATAGAAAACCACACAAAAAAAGTATTCATTAACTCCAAGGAGTTCCTATGGATTTCTTTAGAAGTTTACATAACTTAAGCTTTCTTTACAATCAGAATGATTTTGTTTTTTAAGATAAACATACTGCTAGTTCTTTGATTCCTTCTGCACTAACAATCAAGTTTAAAAGCCTAGTTTACCTAGTTTAAACTCTGTTGTGACCAAATACAGTTTGGCCAGCCAAACAGGACACAAGCTAAGCAATTCTGTGTATGCTACTATGAGCTAAATCTTTGGTACATCTAGACTCTTTTGGGGATACAAGTGTAGATCGCTTAGGCACTGAACTCTGTGTTGTCTAAAAATGCTTGTAGGAGGTAATATGACACGTGGAAAAATGATGGTGCTCCTTTTATCCCTTTGCTTGCTCCATTTCACCTATCTGTCAATCTGTATCTGTGGTAGTAAAGTTCTGGAAGAATTAGCCTTAGAAAATATAAGGTAAGCATATATTACATTGCTAAAACTCTGAAATGTCCAAGACTTTAGCTTGATAATGGAAAATAGGAAGATAGGGCCTAAAAATTGGTGCATTCTCATAATGGGATCCTGGAATATCTTACATAATTTTTCGGTGTATTCTGTAACATCAGTAAAAATGTGATAATCTGATCATTTTTAAATGAAATTCCTTATCCTATAATGCTGTTTACTGTTTAAGTAGGAGATTGGAGCCAAATAAAATAGAAAACAAAAAGGAAAAATCTCACAGAAACTTCAGTTGTTTCAGGAAGGGGAAAAAATATGTGTAGAATTCAACAACTTGCCTCCAAATTACTATTGATTCATGTGTTTGGTTGTTTCATTACTTCAACTTTTAGCAAAAAGATACTATTTTAATATGCCAAACTAGTTCTGAAATATACTATTTATTTTATATTCTGCTGGCTTGTTTTGATCTCTAATGCTTGGAGATATAAAAGCTGTTCATTTTCTGATTCGAGCATATGTATATGGTCTCTCTCTGAGTAGCATCTGCAGAACATGTTGAAAGGGATCGTTTTAAAGTTGTGTGTTTCTTTTTAAACAAGGAGTATGTTTCATTTAGTATAGCATATTTATACTAACAAGTATTCTGTCCTGAGTTACGTTTTCACTGAATATAGTTCATTATTACATACAGATACATACTTTGGTTTGATTTTGGTTTAAATTTGTATTCAATATGATGATATTTGGAAGCAACATGTGGAAACCTATTTACAGCAGCATTTAATAGAGCATATTTATGGCCAAACAATTGATTGTCATGAATACAGTTTGCTGTTTACCTCAAATTTGGACATGCTAACATCTCATTTTGTAGATTTTTAAAATTTGTACATTTTTAAAATTGTTGAAATGAACATCATTTATGTAGCTGTAATTTTGGTACTTTGGGGGAGGAGGGTTCCTTTCTAAAACTCTTTCCACCTCATGGTTCAACTTTAAAGATGTTCCTCAAATGGAAGATTGTTCCTTCATCAGCACAACATAAATAATCAAAGCTGGATGAGTTCCATTGCCTTATCTGATTTGCAAACCCTTGCCCTTTTCCAGCCGCTCTACTATAGTTTCCTATGGGCTGCTTGACATGGTTGCTGACAATAAATGCTAAACCTCATTTATTTATTAGAATTTAGATCTCTGCTGTTTAGCTCCAGCAGAGCTTCTGCTGTGACTTGTTAGATGCTTATTTTATCTACCATTCATTGCACTTTTTGAGCAAAGTGTCATAAGAAGGATGAGCAGGAATTTAGAAGAGCAGATTTAAGCTCTAACTTTGTGCATTTGGTGCTGATGTTTGAGAATCACCAGCTTATTTAGGCATAACTGTGTAGTTTATTATATTTCTAGAAGACATCCACCTAAATCAATTTGTTTTGGAAGGACATTTGTAATTCTAAATTAACTAATGTTGAATTTGCCATTATCAAACCTGTAAAACTTTGGTTTGTGTTTATCATGCATAAAGATTAAAATGCAATAACAATGTTTACTTGTCAAGTTCATCCTGGAATACCTGCTTTAAAAAAAAATCAAGGCTCAACCCTTTTTTCTGTTAAGGTTCATCTAGCAGCCATCTCTGTCTATTCCCTTATTCAGGGCAAATCAGTGTTTCTGCATGAGATGTCAGCTCAGTTGCTGAAAAACTTTGAAAGGCACTTTACTCCCATCAAGGATTCCATCCCTCAATGGAACCTCAGACTGGTCCTCCCTAGGCTGATGGCAGGGCCGGCCTTAGGCCGATTAAACCCATTCCCCTGAATCGGACCCCATGCCTAAAGGGGCCCCATGCCCTGAACCTGGAAGTGTGCCGGGCACCATGGGCGACGAGTTACTATTCAGAGCCAGGGCCCTGCTCCAGCAATATTTGGAGCTGGGTCTATCCCCTGGCTCTACCTGGAGCGGGTCCTGCACCGCTCCGTGCCCCCCCCACCGTCCCTCCCGCGCATCCTCCCACCTCGCCCCCAGAGTGTCCCCCATAGCCCCATCCTGTCCCTGCAATGCACGGCTCTCCGTGCAGCTCCCCCTTGCTGGCTGCTGCTGCTGCCATGCGCGGCATTCTCAGGTGGGCGGGGAGGATGCCTGTACCTGATGTCACAGCCTGGGAATTTAAAAGTGCTCGGCGCGGCGTTGCCTAGCAGCTCCAGGTTTGGAGTCTGGGGCCCAAGCGCAGACTCTGGCCCCGCAAAATGGAAGGCAGAAGGTAGGGGAGGGGGAAAACTAGGGGAGAGGATGGGAAAGGAAGGGGCTTGTGCGGAGGGGGAGGGGAGGGGAGGAAGGCACCAAGAGACAGGGTGGAGGAGAGACAATGCCAGGGGACCAAGTGCAGACAATGAGGAAAAGGGCAGGAGGGGAGGTGTCAGTGGGAAGGGGGACAGGGTGATGCTGGGAGAGGAGAAGAGAGGGGAAGGGCTTTGAAGGCTAGAGGGGGGAAGAGGGAGGTGCTGGGAGAAGGCTTTAAGGAAGGGGTGGGCATGAGAAATGTGGGAATGGAGCAAGTTGTGTGAGGACACAGCAGGGCAGGAGGGGAACGGGGCAGAGAGTGGTGAGCGGGTGGGCATCAGGGAAAAAGGGGGCGGGGCAGTAAGAGAAAGGGGAGGCACCATGAGGGTGCAGGGCTAAGGGAAGGTGCAGGTGCCAGGGGATTCTGGGGTGAAGCAGAAGGGCAGATACCTGCAGGGGAGGGACCAGCACCAGAGGAGAGAGGCAGAGCAGGTGTGTAGAGGGAGGTGTTAGAAGAGGGAATGAGAAGGGATAGCTTACATGATCAGAGTGGGGCTACTGGAGGAGTGGGCATGGGGGGGAGAGAAGGGCTGGTGGAGAGGGGCAGGTCTCAGGAAGGCTGAGGGCAGTGAGAAGGGCAGGAGTCAGGACAGCAGAGGTGGGTGAGGGGTTTGGGGGGGACAGCAGGCACCAGGGGAGCTGATGGAGCAAGGTGAGGAGATATGGCAGCAGAGGGAAAGGGTAGAGGGCGGGGGGGGGGGGGGGGTGGGGGGGGGGGGGGCAGCAGGCACCAGAGGAGCTGATGGAGCAGGGGAGGAGACATGGCAGCACAGAGAAGGTAAAGGTTTATAAAATATTTATTAATAACTTGGGTGCCACAGTGGCACATCCAAACAAGCCACATGAATTTAGTACAGTTGCACAACACAAAATCCATTCTGCTAATGAGAGGAAATTCTTAGGCTATGTCTACATTGGCGGCTTCTTGTGCAAGAACATCTTGCGCAAGGGTTCTTGTGCAAGAAGTCTTGCACAAGAACACATTCATACTGCCAGGTGTGAGCTATGCTTTTGTGCAAGAGCATCTATGGCAGTATGGACGCTCCCTTGAGCCAGAAAGCTCCAATGGCCATTTTAGCCATAGGGGTTTCTTGCGCAAGAAATCCCTGCTGAGCATCCACACTGCCCTCTTGCACAAGAGAGCTTACACCTGTTAGAAAAGAGCGTAGCTCTTGCACAAGATGCTCTCTCTTACCATGCCATACTGTAAATTTCCTTGAGCAGATGGACAGTGTGGCTGCTCTGTGGATTCTTGAACAAGAAAGGCTGTACTGGCACAAGACGCTGCAAGTGTCGACATAGCCTTAGAGAGAACACTTCCCCCAGCCTCTCTGCCCCCAAGTTAATGTCACATACATTGGGTTAATGCAATTGCAGGATAGTTGCATGAGGGGAGTTTGGTAGGTGCCAAACTAATCCCTGTTGGTAGGAGAATGGTGGGAAAAGTCCTTCGAGAGGGGTGACAGGACCCCTTTTACTTCTGGTCATGTGTCCATCTTGCCCTGAGTGTGTTACCTCCAGAGGCCTGGTTAACGGGGCTAATGGGGATCGGGGCATGGTTAATGGGGGCCAGGAGGTGTGGCTAATTGGGGTTGGGGCATGGTTAACAGGGGTCAGGGGTGTGGCTAATAGGGCACTACCAAAAATTATACAAATCTGCCGCCCCTGCTGGCCCCGGAGGAGGAGTGCATCGGCTGCCTGCGCCACAGGAGATGTGAGTTTAGCACAGGGTTTTCCTGTGCCGCAGGAGGGGTGTGTGTGTATATGCTCAATTAAAAAAATTCCTGGGCTCCGCCATTGAAACTTTTGTGTGCTTTTGTTGTTGTTGTTGTTGTGTGTTCAACAAAAATTGCTGCGGGGCCCCATCCAAATTGTTCGAATTGGGCCCTGCTCTTCCTAAAGCCAGCCCTGGCTGATGGGACCACCCTTTGAGCTATTGGGCTTGTGTTCCCTGGCTCACTTATCATGGAAGTTTCCTTCCTTGTGGCAGTAATATTGTCCAGATGAGCATCAGCTCCTAAAGCTTTGACATCAGAACTGCCATGTACAGTGTTCTACAAAGACAAGGACCAGTTCTGACCCCACCAGGCCTTTTTACCAAAAGTGGTGTCATACTTCCACAATAACTAAGTTTTTTCCCTCTTCTTGTTTTATCCTAAGCTACATGCAATCAATAAGAAAACACTGCATGTTCTGGATGTCAGACATACACTTTTTACGTGCACTTCATCAGGCCCTTTTGGAAATCTACCCAGCTCTTTGTGGCAACTGCTGACAGGATTAAGGGTCTTCCAGTGTCCATTAGGATCACCTCCCCATCAGTCCTTGTTATAACCTGGTGCACATTCCACCACCGCCAGTCATGAAGGCACACTTGACAAGGGCACAGACGTCACTGTCTGCATTCCAGGCTCAAGTACTGTTCCAGGGCATCTTTAGAGCCACAACATGATCTTCCCTAAATATAGTCATGGCTCACTATGCCCTCATTCAGTAAGCTAGGCAGGATTCTGGATTTGGCAGTGCTATGTTATGGACATCCCTGGATTCCTACCTGCATTTATGGATACTGCTTAGAAGTGTCCTAACTTGGAATGGACACGAGGAAGAACTAGAAGAAGAAAAGACAGTTACTTGTTCCATAACTGGCATTCTTTGAGATGCATTGCTTATGTCCGTTCTACTACCCGCTCTACTTCTCCACTGCCAGTATTTTTGACAAGAAGGAACTGGATGTGGGAGGACCATGCAGCCTCCCTTATACTGCACCATGAAGGTACCACTCCAGGGATGTTCGAGCTGCTGCCCTATGGATACTAATGGAAAAGCTTCTGACTGCACTACATGTGGTGAGCACACACCCCTAATTTGGAATGTATGTGAGTTGCACATCTCAAAGCAGCACATAACTATCTTTTCCGTATCTAGTGCTAGAATAAATCTTATTCTAGTAGTCCAAAATGCAAATTAGATCCCCCTTAAAAACAACAGAGTCTGGTGTCACTTTATCAAATTTATTAGGGTATAAGCTTTTGTGAGCTACAACTCCGTTCCTTTCATCCTTCATTCTTTTCTTCCTTCCGTCCTTCCTTCCGCATCTGACGAAGGAAGAAAGAAAAAGACAGGAGTATGACAACAGTGCTCATTAAATCAGAATAGATGTTGCTCCCTCTTAGTTTTTCTCTTATGTGAGTGATAATTAATATTTGTATTGTGGTTTGAGCCAATCCAGATTAGGGGCTCCCTGGGCTAGTGCTAGAGAAACATGTAGGAAGAGATGGTCATTACTCCAAAGAGCTGAGTCAAAAGTGGAAAATTGCAGATAGGAGGAGGAGAAACATGGAAATAAAATAGTTGGATGAAGACTGGCATAAATCACGTCGGATACGTCTATACAGCAACTTTATTTCAGAATAACTGACGTTATTCCAAAACAACATAGTGCATGTCTACACTACAAGCCTTTATTTTGAAATAATGTCAAGCTGGAGGACTTCTTATTCTGACTCATGGTAACCCTCATTTCATGAGGATTAAGGGAAGTCGAAGGAAGAGTTCCTTTGCCTTCCCACTGTGTAGACAGCACCAAAAGCCGAATTAAACTATTTCAGTTTAAGCTATGCAATTGATGTAGCTGAACTTGCATAGCTTAGTTCGACTTTAGCCCTGCTGCATAGACATACCCTCCTATTGTACATAGGTCTGAGTCTGAAAATTGACGTTCTCTACATCTTACAGCTAACTCCCCCCCCCCACACACACACACACACAAATATAAATATTTGTACAGGTTTTTGAGAGCTATCATTTTCTTATTTTTGAGGAAAGTGCCTTTTAATTCTTGCTTCAAAGTAAAATAAAATGTTACCTTCACGTGTATCAAATTATTAGGAAAAATAACTCATTTAAAGGCTCATGGAGGCAAAATAGTTGGAAACATGAGTTGAGGAGTCACACATGAACTGTAGCAGTGATAGAGGAAGGTAATTAGCTGGGATCCTATAATCTTTGTGTGCCTTTAAAGCAGGCTGAACTATACCAGCATAAATTTCTCTAGAGCTGTCTCAGGAACCTTAATGTGAGCATACAGTACGGTGGTTGAGATCCAATCTGACAGAATTTTAAAAGAGAGCCCATTGCTTAATCTGTGGCCTCCATGAAATATTTAGTTAAGTATTAAATTTCCACCTCACCAAAATAGACATAAAGAGTGGCTCTCTTGTTTACAGTTTTAAAGTCTAGGCCTGAATTGGTGTGTAAACTACTTGCACTAAGGGGTGGTCTATACTAGACCGCTTAGTAATAATATCCAAAGTTATTACCACCAAATCAGCTTCCGCAGTGGCAGTTCTCCATTGCAGCGTCTGATGTTTTAAGCACCAGATTTTCTAATTCTGCAACAACACCAGAT